CTCTATATATAAAAAAAATCTTTCTGTAATTCTACAAAATAAAGAATAGAATATCACTATAATACTTACTCATACATTGTAATAACAAAAGTAAAAATATAAAATATTGGACGTACTAAGCATTCTTACAATCCTTGTAATTTTTAATATAAAAATTATTTGGATTTCAATCATCCTCATACATTATCACTACATACATACTACCTACTGCTTTACTGAATACAAAAATATTCTTACATCCACTATCTTAAATTATCAGTTCAGTAAAGAGTTTTATACACTATGAAAATCGATTTCCATCGATTCTAACATACAATCATAATTTTAGCCACGAATGTAAAACAATGAAACCATTACAAAAATATGTATTTATCGAGTTCAATTTCCATAAAAAAAAACATGTTAAGTATAAACGGACGAAATGAGAACTTACATTTGTGTGAGCCATGTAATTTACGAGGTGCTTTCACACACTCGCATTACGCCTAATATTGACGATGCATCCCAAAGCTGCCCAAACTTTAATCTCGCATTCTTACCATAGACAAAGCAGACGCTAATTAGTTCTATAGTAGTAATGGTCATTTCAATGGCATATACATATTTGGATGCACGTCAATGTTAGGCCTTATAGTGAGTCAATTTTACCACAGAAGTCAACATACATTCAGAGTGTAAGCTAAACACTGTTGCAAATTGGAAAATGATATTAAACAAGCAAAACATTAACAAAACATTGTGTTTCAATGCAATTGCAAAACTTTCTATAATGAGCACTCGATGAAAAGTTTTCACTCTGTATATGTAGTACGCTTGAACGGCAATCTGCGGCAACTTATCATGTAAATATATCACACACGCAGATTTATTTTATATTATTATAACATTTATCATCGTTTCACTTCGTCCTTTTACTGTATCGATGGTCCAATATTAATAAATTTATATACTGAGATAATTGCAAATCACAATACATACATATGGCAAAGTAAAAAGTTATTTGTCCTTTAAACCTTATTTATATTACAATTTTATTATATAATTTTAAAATATACATACATTAAATTACAATGTTTCTTTGAAAGAATGAAATTAATTTCCTTGTGGCACATTGTTTTTAAAAACAATAACAGTTAAAAGCCTAAGTATAATATGTGAGCTCAATAACTTATATGTATATCTGAAGTACTTGTGCCCATACTATATACTGTATTCATAAAAACATCAATCATCTATAAGAACATTTAGTTTTTTTTTTGCAAACTTTTCAAATGCTGTAATAAAACGCAAAGTAGCTTTATTAGATGTTTGTTTTTATAAATAATACTGTAAAAACCTTCTATTCCTGTAACACCATATAAAATTTTGCAATCGTGTAGAGCTCGTTGTTAATAAATTACTTTTAAATTACATCTTAAGTAATAAAGTATGGAATTCTAAATTGATAATATATTGCAATAATTTCAAAACATCCAAAATAGCTGTGTTGGCAATTTTTTTATAATCATAAGAGAACACTTTCAACGTTCGACGTTGCAAGGCTTTTCTAAAAAATACTTACACTAATTTAAACATTACTTATATCATAATACTTAACACTATATACTTTATACGAGAATATTCCTTTGTAAGTATTGCAACTAAATGGATTTTTGCTTATAGCAATGTCTTATTTATAAATATAAATGGGCAGTGAGTTACTGGTTTTCTTAGCTGTCTTAGGAGCAGCTTATTAAAAAGTGCAATCGTAGCATAAAGTAATATGATGTTTATATAGATTCTAAAAATATGTCTTTGCATTGCATTGTATAATCGATGTGAGTAATATTTTTAATGTCATAAACTACATTATACTTTATGCCAAGTATTAAACACTGAAAAAAAAAACAAAATACAAAATAAAAACTTGTTTGGGGCGAATAATAATATTTATATATTTTGACGATTTAAACACATTAAATAATATTGATGGATAAAAAACATTACGACAAAAAGTCAACAAAATTTCTGCAAGAAATTTTTCCAGACAACAAATTATTCTGAAAGTCATACCTTCAGAAACGCATATCTTAAATCTAAACTAAGCTGCACGAATCCTAGCAAATATTACATTGATAATAACTTAACCGAAATGGCAATGATTACAAACGAATCCCGCATTATGGGACCCGTATTACATAGCTAATTACATGTAATTACAAATTACAATAAATAATAATTAAATGTTATCGTCTTTCATATACACCTGGACTATACGAGTGAGACGTTCCTTGTTGTCTTATTAAACATTTTTGGACCACATTTTACGTATAATGGAATACTGTTATGACAGTATATGAACTGTGTGATAGATACACAGATTATACTGGATTATTTTAATATAAAATCTATATACAATACAAATTAGTTTGTTCTCATATATTCTATGGAGTCTAGATTATAGAACAATGAGTTTTAAAATAAATTAGCTACTGTTCCATTTAAGTATGCAGTTCAGGTATGACCTAGATTTAAGAAAGAAATTAAAACACACTATTGAAGGTCATACCATAAAGACATGCATAAACGATGAAATATTTATGAATACACAAATATGATTATTTTTTCTCTAATGAAGTTTGTCCAATAAGTTTTAAAACAAAAACATATTCATATAAATATAATAATACAAATATTATTGTCCGAAAAATACAGGCACATATAACATAACTTAAGTACCTATTTTATTTCAAAATAATCCAGTTATCCTAATTATTATAGAATACAAAGACATGTAATCGTTGATAAATGGATATATATATATGTCTATAATCAGATTTATGCTTTAATTATTACTATATAATACAAGTATTATATAATACAAGATTATACTTTTTATATAAAACGGAAGGCTTTCAATATTTAAGTACCTCTAGTCTATACAAGGATTATTTTAAGATACAAAAATATTTCATACTTTTTAATGCTCTGATATACAGAGTCGTGCAGATTTTGAGGTACGTTGGGATGAAAATTTTTATCCATTTTAGTAAACCTTTTTCAAATGGGGAGTCTTAGTGAGGCGACATTTCTTAGTGCTATCGAGTTTTTTTTAAACCTATACAAAAATTTTAAAAAGGCATGTTTTCTATGTATCAGTAGTTTAATTAATGCAACGTAAAAGTTATTACATTAAAAAGTTCGATTACAAGAATCAGCACTCGGAATAATTTTTATTCATTATTCCATTGTTCCAATAGCCTTATATAAACCACTTATAATTTAAAAGCATAGCGTGGCAGTGGAGGTCGTTTAAATGCCTAAATAGATGATTATTATCAATCACAAGACGCATTTCTACGAAGACGTTTTATACATATACGGTATAGAATTCACTAGCGTGCGTCCACATAGCCCTTACGTTAGTAATTTCTTAGTTTATGGACTAGTCCTTACCTATATGGGCTTTATATTAATCAAATGAGAGTTTAAATACACGTAGAAAAGTTTATTATAGAAAAATTATTTTTATATTCAGGGTTATGTTATATAAACTTAAAAAGGCCATTCAATGTCGTGAACAACTTTCCACAAACAGCACATTAAAGATCCTTTAAATACTATCTTATTGTGGACTATCAAAACGTTTTTTTACGTTGAATTTAGTATTAATATGACTAAAGAAATAGATATTATTTAATGTTTGGAGTTAAAAAATATAGGATTGATAAGAATATAAATCTCACTACATTATTTCAAAACTAAACCGTTATGTGTATAAGTTTACATAGTAGCTTAAGAAACTGAGTTAGTATTAAGCACACTATTTATTTATTAGTGTAATCACAAATACTAAATACCTATTAGGGAAAAACGACAGTTTTGTAAACGTCTGTCAGTGAGATTGTTTATTATTGTTATTATAATAGCATTACAAATATATGTTTTTGCCCAAAAAGTACCGCTTCTTTTACAGATAGATAATATAGTTAATGATATTTAATCACTTTCTTTGAGGTAATAGTTTCTACAAACTAAATTTTATCGGTTTAAAATACTGCGTTTTTGAACTATAACATCCAATTATGCTATTGATGAAATGATAAGTATTATGCACTTAAATTTTATTAATTAATAATACAAATTAAAACCATACCAAGACAGTATCAGCCCATGGTGAAACTGTAATATAATGTAATTTTTAACATGTAAATTGACAGTAAGTTTTATACCTGAGTATAACATAGATCTGACGGTAGACTTACTTATTAAAGTATTTGAAACGAGCATATTAATGATTTGTTTACGAAAAAATATTTTGAGCCGCAAATACTTTTATATAACTGCTGTTGCGGTGCAATTCATACATAGTTATGTATCTCATATCATGAACACTTATTATCTCGGATTTATATATAGGGTATATATATGTTATATAAGTAGGTACAATATACTAATATTTACTGATAATGAAACATGATAATATAATTTATAAAAATACGTCTAGTGATGTAAATTGTATCATAAAATAAATGCATTTATAAGATATATTATGAGATTTGTTGGCACAGCAATAATTATATTAATATGATGAATGTAACGATATGAATTTGACTCTAGATGATGACTTTATTACAGTCTTATTTTTTATTTAAAGGCCATATACATTATCACTTGGAAAGGCAAAGGAACTGTTTTATATAAATATTAATATGTTTTGTTATACCGAATCGTTTAGCCAGTGTGATACTACACTAATATCCTCCGTTATGGGTATTTTGATAATTAATTAATGGTACCAACACATGATACATATTTTATCTCAGATTTTAACTTAAACAACTTTTGATAGTAATTTGTTGCTGTTGCTATTTTGGATATATTTATTCAAAGTGTAAAAGCAGAACAATAATTTCGTGCAAAACAATTTGAATGTAATATACCATATGTTTAAAAAGTTGAAATGAGAACCATAAATTACCTACCATTGTAGTGAACCCTACGGTAACACTACGGTTTCGAATTGCATTAATTAACGATTTTCTTGCTTTGAAAATATATAATGTAACATATTGTATGGCAAATTATTACTGTTACTATATTGAGCATTTCTTTATATCTTCTAAAGATTATTTCTTGTTGTTGATTATTTAAAAATGTCATAAATATGTTTAATTATAGTTCCGTCCCTATGATTAAAGAACTAGAATTTGTCGTCGTAAAAAACTAGTTTAGATTTTGAGTCTTGAGCAATGTTTACGGTGTTTTAATTTTAAAACCTGAGCGAGAGTCCGAGGTCATGTTGTTAATGGTCCCCTCTCAGGAGCTCCATGAGTAGGTTGAAGCTTGGTCCGTCGCCATCTTTATTCTTGTTTGCTGGGTTGAGCATCTCTTTACCGACTTGCATGAAAAACTATGTGAACAAAAGAAAAATAAATATTATGACTAAAATTATACTGAATACCAAAAATTGATATATGTGTGTGTAAAAAATATATTCGATTTAATTTACTTTATTGACGTTTATCGACGTTATGAATTTCAGACCGTCGTGACATGGTGGACGAAGTTCTACTCTGACGGATACCAAAAACATTCATATTTTTTTTAATTTATTTATTTAGACGCCCTCGGTGGTCTGCCGTTTTAGCATACCTGTTTCATATATTATTTAGGTAGTGAGTATACAGGTGGTATGATTGTACTACATTAACATGTTTATTTTATCGTATGCTACATGGCTTATTAGGAACGGAAGCTCTCAACGCGGAGTCGTAATGCGGACTGCTTTACACGGAACTTAATTGTACGTTATGTGGAAACGTAATCAAGAATCTGAGTGTTAGCAGAAATATTATAAACTAGCTGTGCCAGCGGTTTCACCCGTGTTAAATGTCAATAAAAAATATATCCTGTATTATTCTGATACATAAGCTATATTACTGTAAAGTTTCATCAAAATCCGTTCGGTAGTGTTTGCGTGAAAGAGTAACAAACATCCATACTCACAAACATTCGCGTTTATAATATTATTAGGATTAAGATGCAAAATCGACTGTTACCTGACAAGTCCGTTGCAGCTCGGGTATACGCAGCAGCAGTTCGCCGAACTTTGCGGGCGTGTCCGGCGAGTGCGTGGCTGTATACGCCTGCAGCGCTGCCAGCGCTTTCTCTTGTGATGCTCGCACTTTCTCCGCTTCGCGTAGTTCTGGCGCATCTGTTTATTTTAATAACGCCATTATTAATATTATTACTAAACTTTATATAGATACTAACGGAACGAAAATCGTCCTGTCCTAACATTAGCAGCACCGTCTACCGTGCCCGATTGCAAATTTAAATAATTCATTGACCCTTAAGAAAATTTTGTCACAAATAAATCCAATGGTTTATAAGTTTAGTCAAACATTTGCACACTTGGGACATGCTAATGGTATTTGCTGATGGTAGACGATAAATTGAAATCTAGTGTCCCCATTGCTAGCAATATTGGTATCTTAGGTCGACCTCCACGCGGTTCCCCCTGGAAACTATCGTGGTTAATTTCTAGTTATTTAATCACGGTGGGCAAATTGACCGAACCTGAGGCTCATTTTATCATCTTCCACTTGTGCCCCGCCATACAAACGTGTGCGCAGGTGGCTGCATCCATTCCATTATCATCCATGAAAAAAATGGTATTTGCTGGTGGGAGACGATAAATTGAAGTCAGATCAGTCCACTATGACAAATTTACCGATAATCATAACTTGGAGGATGACCTAACAATGGCAAATAGTTATTCCTGAATGAGTAATGAGTTCTTATTATAATGAAAGATTTTATTACCTGAAGTGAGCAGTACAATAACTTTCAAAGCGACATATTCATATCGGTCGACTCGAAGTCGTCTTAAGTGGTCGGTGAAGCTTAACATTCTTTCAATGCACGGCGTGAGACCCAATCTGTAAATAACATTAAAGATTATAATTATATCATACATAACACTAATAATAAATAAAAAAGGTAATCAATGGACCATGAGCATTAACTTGTAAGATAGATACTTGGAATAGTGTAGTTAAAATGTGTGCTCCATTTCGTAATACCAGTGGTCAATTTTATTCTGAAATATAGGTCGTTTTTACATACCAAGTGTCTGTAATAGAAATCCATTCAGTAGTTTTTGCGTGAAAAAGTAACAAACATACATTTGTCCGTCCATCCACAAAACAAGTCCGACTTGGTTGGTTGATATATAAATAATTTTCCACATAAGTAACACAGATATACTTAGAAGAGTACATAAAAATAGAAAGAGAGTATAGTTACAAGTACAGCACAGAATAGAATATAGACAATAGAAATGAAGTTAAATATAACAATAAAAAGCAGCGCAATATCAATTACAGCATGGCCGTTTAAGCAAGCGAGTAGCGAGCGTACCGCGTCATAGACTTGATAGTATCAAAATAAATACACTTATACAAAACAAAGAAAATTATATAAAAATATACACACTTGGCGCTTTGTGGCAACGTGATCCCGCGACCTCCACCGACTCGAACCTCGCCGGGCGTGCCCACGCCGCGGTAGCAGCACGACAGCACCAGCAGCTCGCACCAGCTATTGATCAGCAGGCAGATCTGGTCGTCGATCTACCAAGTACACCACATAAGGTTAATGTAATTTTGTTTGGTAAACAAGCTGAATGCTCATCTGATGGTATACATAAATACATATGTACATAATGTATATACATATGTATGTAAGCACATATATAAACAGCACTATGGACATAATGTTATCATATTTTGCCATTCAGAAGGTCTAAAAAGTCAATGATATTTGAGAATGAAAGGATGAGGCTGTAATTTTACTACACTTTAACTGAAATACATCTTACAAAGCAATCTGCTTTAATGGGTGAAATAGTTGAAAGTAAGGTATGTACACAGACAAACTTTTATAAAGTTTACCTTAGTCAAATTTAAGATTTTGTTCCAGAATAAAATCGAAAGTGGATGACAAAATTAGTATGAAACTAAAAACGTACACTAAACGTACACTTTCTAAATCTAATTGACACAATCAAAAATCTAATGGAAAGATCTTCAAATTAAATTTATTGAAACATAATAATCATAACCTACACTAACAAAAGTCTGCATCATATATATATATGTATTTATAAACACTTACGGAGATGTTCTTGAACAGCGGTAAACTCTTGCACCACTTGACAATTTTGTAGAGGCGATGGTCGGCTATATTACACAGGTCGGCCAGAAAGTCGGGACTCGAATTTTGGGCCGTGATGCCGCTCGCCGCAAGCAGGGGATTGGCTGACGGACTACCGGGCGACTTGCTCAGTCGATTAAGTTCCGACTCGTTGTATTGCCATAAGTGTTCTACCTCCATTATTTCCTGTACGAAATACATTTATATTATTTATTAACTCTCTATTAATCTAAGTAAATTAAATTAGAGTAATAAGAGCTTGGAAACCATTTTGGTTATTTCGTTAATAACATCTATAAAAAAATACCTCACCTGTAATAACGGTGGTATGTCGGGCGTTAATCGGCTATTGCTTGGTTCCCCTCTACTGTTGTATGAGCCAGGTCCATTGACCTATAAAATTAAATTACATTAAGTTTATCAATAAGCAAAAAAGTTATATTTCATTTTGGAATGTTCTATTTTTAAATATGTTCTATATATTAATTTCATTATTACATATTTTATATCTTTTCCATTATTTTCCTTGTTTATTACTCTTTTTTGCCATATTTTCTTATTATTCTTTATTTCATTCAAAGTCAAATACAAAAAAAATAATAATCTAGGACAGTCATACATGTCAAGGTTCTTATATTTTTTTTGTCTCTGGCGTTCGATGTTATTTTTTTTCGATTGTGGTCTCCACCATCTGGTTTTGTTTTTTTTTTATTTCAAATATTTATCTTTCTATTTTTTTACAGTATAGTCTGTACGTACACATGTGAGACTGGAGGCGTGCCGGAGCGTGGTGGGTACGTGTGCGGACAGAAGAGAGCCCGTGGATGATGCACCGGACAGCGAGTACGAACACTGATACGTGGAGCGTCCACCTCGGGTTCTGTCCTCGCGGATTGCTGTTAAAAAAATATTTATTTATTAAAAAACATACTTGACGTGTCATAGATTTTGTGTTTGTACTACATACTTAACGCAATGTATTGCGTTTAAACTGATCCTGAATTCGATTCTCGGTAGTGACTCGAAGTCTAAATTTTAAAAGGCTTTTTCTAAATTGACTCAAATCTAGGTATGTGTTTTGTTTGGTTACATTGATGAAGATGAAGTGTTATGCAGTTGATTAAATTTATCATGTGATTAAGATACGAATGCATCAAAGAGCAATGCTCAAACTAAAACCTCATTAGTCATTACCATGCGGATTTTGAAACATACTTATACACACAAAATATGCAGTCTGATTTAGAATCTACTACTATTAAGAAACAGTTGAAAATGTAACAAAAATATAAATTACATTAAAGAAACAAAAATAGATAAGTCATTTACCTTCCAGCTTCATGCCGCACCCGAGGCATTTGTCGAACCTACAAGCAGGGCATTTCTTCCTGGTGGCAACAGTGACCGGACAGTTCCCGCCGCGGAGACACATATAATTCTTGCGATTCTGCACGGTCCGCTTGAAGAAACCCTTGCATGACTCGCACGAGAATATCCCGTAGTGGAAACCGCTGATTTTGTCGCCGCAGATCGGACAGGGGCTGCGGTGGTAAGATGAAATTAAATATTAATTTGTTTTTCACCTAAAATTATATTATACAGTGACTCTATGTCACGGGGAAGCACTATAAAAGTTTCATAAACTAAAAGCAATACAAAATTATAAAAATTGTAAACTGTCGTTTGATATATTAATTCAAGAGAACAAGAGGTCATCGAAACATACTTCTAAATATGTTATACGAAAGAATCCAAATACGTTACAAACTGTTAATAAACAAGATTTGAGTGATTCCGTTGATTTAAGACTGACCTGTTGATAAGCTGCTGTCGACTGATTCCCTGGTGGTGATGCAGACGGTCATCAGTTGTGTCAGCGTCCTCGTCATGCGCTGGTGAAGCTGGAAACGGACCTGCCGCTGCCGCTGCTTCACGGTACACCACGTGGGGATGTCGACCCTGCACACCATTATAATACAATAAAATATTATTTTTTCGGATTACCCATTTTAACCTACTACCTTGAGATTAAAACAGGAATAAATTAATAAGACAAAACTTTAATTGAATAAATATATGTTTTTGCATAAACATCACACTACAGTACAGACATTTCTGCTCAAGTTTTAAGTTTACAAAGTAATGTTTGTCTTCATAATAAACATTACACATCAGTACAGAAAAAAATTCTGCCAAAGATTTTATCTTTATATAGTAATGTTTGTCTCAGTAGCGGATGTATTATTATTTAAAATATCAAATGTTAATTAAATAAATGTACATTTATAATTACTCTAGATCGCATGAACAGAAAGATTTTATCAATTTTAGCAAACCACTTGACATTCCAAAACTAAATAAAGTCAATAAACTACTTTAAATTGCTTATCCAAAAGCAGTCAAAATACGTCTAAATGCAACAAAAGCATAAAGTTCAAATTTGTATACCTGTACAGGGGAGTGTGTGGGCGAGAATTCCGAGCTATACGAGTAACAGGATGAATGCGACGCGTCACTGTTGTTACGCGATAACGAGGGCGTGTAGTGACGCGAGGCGCGGGGGCTCGCTGATGGGCTGCTGTATACACTGCAACAAATTAATAATAATAATCAGCTGAGAAATTAAACTATATATAATAATAATTGCAAAATAAACTAACGACAGACTTGGCACGGCCCGTCCTAGGTACTGGACTGGTAATTTTTTTATATTATTATTATTTATTCCTCATACAAGTGGTATGTAGTCAATTTTGGTTCTGTTCTTATGAGAGTTGCCGGCAAACGGCAAACGTTGTTTTGCCATATAAATTAATGGCGTTACTAAAAAAGATAGGTGGAAGAAGGATAAAAATTTAAGAGGGCTCGTTTTCACATCATAAAAAATAAAACTGTTGCCAAAAATAAAAATAAAATATATTGTGAGCCATCTTCATCGTTTAGAAAAACAGATAACAACCTATTCTTAAACCTACCGAGTATACATATAAAATTTCATCAAAATTTAAGTTCAGCCTTTTCGAAGAAGAAAAAGAAAAACACTGTGACACGAGAATTTTATATAACATGATAATATCTCATGGTATAATACAGATTGTATTAATTATATAGGATCAATAGTACCTGTGTGTGTACATAGAATGTACTGCTGAGTCTGTACTGGCGCTGGACTGCACGCGTGGAAGCCGCCCCAAAAGTGGAGAGCCGTGCAATGCACCCAGCAACTTGTCCATGCCTACTGATGGCTCGCATTTTAGCTCTGAAATAAGATTATAACAAATTAATATTACACTACTTACCCGTCCTGGCTTCTAATGGGTGTAACTGTACATGTATAAACAATCACTCTGTTGCTAAAAACTGCATTAAAATTCGTTAAAGTTTAAAAGATCTAAGCGAAGACCGCGGAAGCGAATTAATTTTATACTACGTAAAGATTTCGTACACCTCTTAGATAGATTTTGAACAAATTACAGCTTGAGTACGTCTTTGTTTAATTTTTGTTTTATTTATTTATTTCATTATTACAATACCATAATAAACAATTCAAATCGGTGTGCAAATCAGTACAGTATATAAAGATATACACTTAACTTGTATACTCAATAACACAATTTAAGCATTAAACATATTCAAGATATTTTTTTATTTTCGGCAGAGTATAATCAAATTAAATTAAAAAATCAGACTGCTCCATAGCTGTGATGCTATGCTTCACTGTCGTGCCAGCATATACAGTTAGGGGGATGCACCATCCCACTAACATTTATAAACAAAAATAAATGTAATCAAACTTTAAGATAAACGTAGATAATTTAAAAAAAAAAATAACAAATACATTTACAGTCAGATCAAAATGTTTCATAAAAAAAATATTGTTGATTGTGATATACCTGATAACTGTGATAGGCCCTCCTTTTTGATAGTCAAATTTTGGACCTCGCCCAGCGACGTCTGCGGCATTATCGGAATATTGTTGTGGTCTAACACTAGAGATTTCGCACTACTCGTGGGTGACGATGGACGCCGTGCGAGCGAGAGGGGCGGAGTATCCGTGAGTACTGATATCTAGAATAGAAAGAGATAGAAATATTAAACATTTTTTCTGAATAATATTAATTAGTTTTATTAAGAATAAATTGTTTATAATGTCTCGCCCATGTTAGTTTTTTTTATATATCTTATATATATATATAAATAGATAAAGTACTCTTAAATTTAGTATATTTTACATTTTACTTGTACACATGTAAAATGCTGACAACTGCAGTTGTTGTTAAGGTCAATGTGCAGACAGACACCTGCTAATGGCACATGCGTTCGCAAAATTAATGATTATATCACATTTCATGAAATTAACAGTTCTTTGAATTCGGTCTTTAATCGTATTTAATATACATATGGAATTTAATACACTATTTGTATTTTTTTACTGTATATTGCAAATAAATATAGCATATTCTGGTATTACTATAGAGTTGAAATTCGACCACAATTACAATGGCCTTATTAACAACATATGTATAATATAATCATGACAAATTGCTGACACCTAATTCAATTTCATAATTTGATTTATTAAATATTATTTTAAAAATTTGGATATGCGATATGACAAAGATGATTCATTACTATTAATATCATTTATATAATGTTGTAAAAAGAACACAATTAGATCTGAAAATCTCAAATACACACCCTGTTCATGCTGAGACTTCTCTGGTGCGGCTGCAATGGCGCTGCATATTGCAAATCGAGAACCCTTTGATCATCTACACACTGGTAGGTTTCCGTCTTGAGAGGTTCCGTTTTGATGGTTACATTGCGGAGGGTGTCTATGGAGTCCCGTGACGATTGGAGATCAAGGGAACTGCTGTTGTCATCTAAAAAAAGTTAACCTAGCTTAGATTTAGAATTTAGATTAGTTGACCTAGCTTTTCCGTTCTAAGAAATACAGGACAGTATACCTTAGACTGGCAAAGAATGTAACAGTTCAGGTTTTAGTTAGTGAAATATAGACCACATAGGAACCGCCTAAACTATTATTTATTTATTTGCTTCATTAACCTATAAAATATGGTATAAAAGAGGAACTTAAAACTATAGCATTCTCTGCCAGTCAATCTTTTGGAAGTGCAGATACACTCGATTGCAGCTTAGCAATAAATATATGTATACTTTACAATAACAAACATATAGATTGCAGTTGTAGTTTTAGTGTGTAATGGACGCACATTTTGAACGACATTATATAGATAATAAAAGAATGAATTATTATAGTAGTAACAGGTTAGTGGCTCCATAGCCATGTATTTTTTTTTCAGATATAACTCTAAGAGATATCCAATAGATATAGTTAATCTGCTAATTTTACCTCCATGGTCTAATCGAACCGATTTCATACTTTTCATTGGTGTTCCGCCAGGAAAAGAATTAGTGCAAGCACACTCAATATTTCATCGTCATTAACATAAAATGTTAAGAGATTAGGAATGATTTTAATATAAAGTAATAACAGTGCATTTACTTTCAACAAGCGCTATCAATGTTATTATCATATAAATTAAATTACATTGATAAAACAATATTATGTATGTTCTATTAACGACTGATTAAAAGCATATATACTAGGGGGACGACGGATGTCATCATGTTTATTTGTATATTCAATCCATCCAGGAACTCATTAAAATATGCACCTAAAATGTTATTCAAATCGATCGAACCGTATTTATTTAGATGACAAACATACATACTGAAGACTAATATATCTAAATATATTGAGATTTGAGTTTCTTGCCCATACTACCTCAACTAAAATAGCTGAACTATACTGGGCGGTTCACGACTGGCTAAAATTGTCCAATACGATTAATGCTATTGAATTTGTTAGATACTTACCATTGTTGACACTGGTATCAATGACCATCTCGGAGTCGGAGAGCTCTCCCTCCCATGACATAGGTCGCTCCCGTTCGTTTGGATTGTCGCACTGGGCACCACTCGATGAGCGTTTCTTTTTATTTCGCATGTTTACCTGTAAATAACCTTAATTACATCAATCGTTCAACGGTAACTACTACTTAGGAGGACTAAGGTGACTCGCTTGGTAATTTTATCGCCCACCCTTCAAAACAATGCAAGCAATTTAGAACCAGAAATATTTGAGACAGACATACCTAGGCCATCTACGTCTCTTATTTGTACAAAGCCTACCTGAATATCTATGTAGGAATTAAGTTATAGAATCTGAATATATAAATAAATACTACATATTTATTTCTATCAGTTATTGGTACTGAATATAGCTATATATAGCACTTGTACTGATATACAGTACAAGTTCTGCTTAATTTGACTTTAATGATTTTTTTAGGGTAACTATTATTATTAATAACACTTATGCTAATAATAATACTAAGTTAATGTTTTAATGTTATGTAATCAAAGGTCTTATTTTCATTATTTATATTTTAATTTATATTATACATTATTAACTATGAATAGTTTGCATGTAGTATAAAACGGTTATTTCAATATTAATAAACACTACAACGGTTATACAATAATACAAACAGACACTCCAATTTTATTTATATGTATAGATTGATAAACAATGTAATAACGACGCATATATTGTGGTATGGTTGAATCACAAAATCATAAGATACAAGAACGTGACTCTTTTAATAGTGTTATGAAAAAAAATATGACTCAGTAGTCGGAATCTAATGAAACATGACCTTTATAATTATTCAAACTTCGCCGTCTGGCGCCAGTGGATTTTGCATTTATGTTTTTAAACATTTTAATATTTGCATATAACTACAATTAATTATTTTAAAACATCTGTATTGCCTATGAAACAGGCTATTAATGACTAAAGTGGTGGCAATCTTGTTCTTTAATATTGACGACAAAATTGTCTGTTACGCTGTGACAAAATCAAATTAAATTTGTTACATAGATAGACCGTTTTATCTCGATGAATGCTTCTTTATAATATTTCAATATAAGCAGCAATTGTGATAGTTTATTATTTGAGACAAATAAAGATTATTGTCATTATAGATATTCTAAATTAACACAAGATAATTTCTACCCGAATTCGAGAGCAACGACGTGGCTTACACTATCAGTAAGATGTTTCATGGCCGATGACTAACCTCGTGTTGGTGCTGGTTGAAATCAATTTTGGAGACCTCGGCATCAGTGGAGTCTTCGTCGTGGGGATCCGAAGAGACGCTGATGCGGACCCCACTTGAACTGTACGAGAATTGGACTGAAAACAACACAAAATAATACATATAATTATAATATCTTAATCTTAATAATAATAATATTATAAACGCGAAAGTTGTAAGTATGGATGTTTGTTACTCTTTCAAAAACTACTGAACAGATTTTGATGAAACTTTACAGTAATATATATATATATATATATATACATCAGAATGACAAATAGGCTATAAATTTCACGCGGGTGAAACCGCGGGCACAGCTAGTAATATAATAAAAATAATATGTCTGGCCAGTTCACACAGCGTCATCTAGGCACAGATTAAGCAGGTGTGTTATGGGTACTAGAGATTGTATATAAATATTTTTTTGTGACATACATAACACCCAGATCAATACAAGAAATCGTACTCATGAACACAAAAAAACTGTACCTGTCTGTATGTGCGGGGAATCGAACTCGCGGCCATTGAATTTTAAGGCGGTGAGCAAATTACTAGAGCACTGAGGCCGTCAAATCCCTTGTTACAGATACACTAAAAGCATAATTATTGGATACTAACTGAAAACGCTACTTCGTACCAAAACATTCACAAACTTTTAATTGAAGATTACTAGTGTGAAAACCGCACCTAAATCGGTTTAGACATTTCTCACATTAGCGTGCACATAATAAATTCAACAAAATTTTTACAATTATTGATATGGGTTCTATTACGTTAATAACCAATTAATTATATTATGCTTTCTTGTATAGTTCGTAAACTATATTCATTTAAACAAACAAAAAGGAATCGTTATAATCGGATGACTTCGTAAAATATGTGCAGTAACCTATCGGGGCAGACGGTGTCGTATGTGTCGTCAATGTCAGACTGAAGACGGGCCAATGTCAACAGTGTCAACACAGGTCACATTCTACAAACACAGACAACGTATACACCCTGTACTTATAAAAGAGGGGAAGGCATTGTTACTGCCATAACAGTTAATGACGCCATTTTTTATGTGTGATAATGGAATGGTGCACTTGCTTGCGCTAACGACTTACGTTGGCGGGTTACCAGTGGAGGATGATAAGATGAGCATGAGATCAGGTCAGTTAGCATCGTGACAAATTCACCAAGAATTTATCACGATAGTTTCCAGGGGGAACCGTATGGAGGTCAACCTTATATGGTACATTGATATCGGTAGCAATAAGATTATCAGTTCATATTACTAACAATCTCCTTTCTTCCCTAATGGCCCTGTTGCTAGCTCCCTGCCTGTTAGGTCGACCATCACGCGGATCCTCCTAGGAACCATCATCGTTACTCCCTAGAAATTCATCGCGACTTAATTCGTATTTCATAATCGTTTACTGATGATTCACCAGCGTATTCTGTTAGCGCCCTATATCGTTATCATCCATTGAAAATGCTTGTAATATAATTAATAATAATTTAGGATAATTCACACAGCGCCATCTAATCAAGCTAAGCAGAGTTGTATTATGGGTACTATATAACTATAGAAATACCTAATTAAATACATACATAATATGCATAGAAAACACCCAGACTAATACAAGAAAATCATACTCATGAATACAAATGTTTGTACCGTGCAAGGAAAAAAACCCGCGACCATCGGAAGTACGGCGGTGTGCTAAACCGGTAGACCACCGAAGTCGTCAAAATAATAATATTTCTCGAAATATTTCGTGCAAAATTTCATGATTTGTTCTTTCATTTAGATCGAAAATGCTAATTATTGTTTTGCCTTTACTCAAAGGTAAAAAGCAAACAGACTTTCACATCCTTATTTCCTTGCTGATCAAAAAAACAAATGTGAAAGTGAGATTACTTGCTTATTTATTTGTAATGATTCAACTTAACGTGAAATTTGATACGTTTGATACGTATTATTATTAAAGATGACGAAGTCGCGGATAAAAACTAGGTACTACATTAGTAGGTATTAAGAATGCAACAGTGAGAAGGTAAAATTTTATTAGTTATAGCATCACTGTGTATCATAGCATCATCATCTGCTTCTTTCTTATACCATTTGTTTGGGGTCGGCGTCATATATTTTTTTCTTCCATTTATCCCTCTTCGCAGCCATCTCGTTATTTATTTCCTTTATTTCAATATCACCTTTCACACAGTCCATCCATCTTTTTTTATCCGTTTATATATAACTAATTTCATAAATTTATTGACACTAAATTTACAAATTTACAGTCATATTCTCATAAACTTACTACACTATAGAAAATTTCCACTAGTCTAGCTACTACTAACCACTATCCTAGCCTAACTTAAAAAACAAAATAAAAAAATATACCTTTGTCACTAGAAAAGCTAATGAAAATGTATATCAAATAATATTCATAAATTCATCATCATTAATAAAAATTTAGGGCTCGTTGAAACATTTATTAAAAAGTATATGATAGGGATGATCGATATTCATCGATGTTAAATAATATATTAATAGGAAAATATCAATATTTTCTGGCTTTGATGTCAACATCGACATATTTCTAAGACCGATCCTCCATAACCTCACTGCACTTTCTGGTTTGTAGAATTGTAAAATTTTACAATATTCCGTATATAAGACAACTCAAATAAGAAAACCATTTTTTTTATTTAAATTGCAACGTCACGGAATCCTCAGAACACTCCATCGTCAATTATCCAGGTTTATTTAATTCCATTGATATTTTATGCGATACATCCTGTGGGCCTTATAAAAAATTATGCTAAATTACATTAACACCGTCTCCAAATACGAATTATATGTATATTTTATGGTCATATCGAATGTTTAATGTGTAATTTATACACAACAGCAGAAGGATAAGTTCGAGCTCCACCGGTCAATGACACCAACATTATCACAATATTTTTTATAGTATACTGGGAAATACTGGGAACTGATAACTGTTACTTGTATAAGTATGCATGATGTTAATATTTTTCTTCATGGATGGATTACATAAATGTAATAATAAACAAATATTATTATTATACTTCTATAGTAGCTGGCCGCCCCCGCCTCGCTCGGGTGTAGTAAATTAAAACTATGCAAGAAATTGAGCCACTGCATGTCAATGTATATTATTATATGTACGTTTTTAAAATAATTTACCGTTCTAAAGAGTGTAAGTGTAAGTGGGCTTTAATACATTCTGCGATGGAATCTTAGTTTATATATACAATATTTAGATAAACTTTTAAATCTATGGCTATAGATTCCAAGTTTGTATCAATAATAACAAAAATAACTAAATTAATTAAAATTTAAATATATATGATATTAGTTACGAACAATATATATACAGAATGTAAGAATTAAAAAAATGTTTGTGAAAAGCACGTTTTTTTTTATATATTTTTATTGAGGAAGATTAACGGTGTAATTTTACATGTACTTGTCATATAAAATTGTCCTATGCCAATTAATAATCTTCATAGTATTTCTGATCTAATTAAATATATTTAACATAAAACATATATAAATATGTGTAAAAACAGCAATTGAACAATGACGCTTATAACTATAGATAAATGAAATAGGCTCACCATTGCTGGTCTCCGGGCCTGTCATGCTGATAGTGGTGACGGACACGTGGACACCCTCCACCTTCACCGGATCACCTTCACTCGCCATCGTATTCAACACCTACACCAATTCACATCACCACCGAACTATCGACACTCAATCTATCGACTCTTGCTCACACTACACACTAGAGCCGTTAGCACCATGCACATAACATTTGTCTATTAAAATAACATCCAAAAATATCGCTCGTAAATCTTCAAAAACTATTGTCTTTTCCGCATAATGTTTAGAAAAATATTGATCATCTTGCGTTCTTGCACATTTTTAAGGCATCAAACATCAGTCTTGAGTTGTCGGCGTGATTACTACATAATGTTGCTTGCTTAGATGTGCCGTGGGTGATACTTTTGATTAGCCGTATTGTAGCCAAATGCGGATGCAAAGGATTATAATCCGATGATAATAACAGCATCTTGATTAACCTGCGAAAAAATAACATTAATTAATTTAAACGCAAATTAAATAATTATCATGAAAATAGAATAAATGTTTTATTTTTTAATTTATTAATAGAAATTAGAAAAAATACAATATTAAGGAAGTTTAACGGACTTCACTCAATATTAAGATGTCAACGTTTTTGAAAAATCAATTCATAACTGCACAAGAAAGACATTTACCTCGCATGAACGAAAACTAAACAAAATTATTAAAATTAAATCTAGAACCAAAAAGTGTAGAAGTTTCGAACTGTTTGTGTATTTGTACACGTACGCGACGCGTCGTGCCGCGGCCTTGCGAGCCCGACTAGTGCTTGCCGATAGCGCTGCGATATTATTATCGATAGAACGAAACGACCCCGTGTCATTGGCATTTTGTTTACGCAGAGGACGAAGCTCGCCGGCGATAACGTAGGTAATGCGTCAGAGACAGTTTACTGAATGAATTGCCGTTTCCAATGTATGGACATTAATTATAGCTTAATGTTTTAATTATGACTATCTAATCTGCTGTCTAAATACGTATTGAATATACAGTTACAATTATTTTGGAGGGAGTAAGTTATTTAATTATATATATTAAAATTATATAGATACCTATATAGAGAGAACACATAATTATCGATAAAATTGTTCTGGCAACCACAGTTGATTGTGGAGAGGGGGAGGTGGTACGCGGCCTTCACAGAGCCGGTTGTGGCGACCGGCCGCGAGCATTTCGCCTTTCGCGCAGGACTGGTCCGCCGCTCCCAATACCACCAAGCTACACGACACGATAATATTGCCAGTAATGTATCTGATGAGTATAATATTTGTTTCTAAATATTATTGTGTATGTTTAACGGAAATATAAAACATACATCGTCATAATTTCTAATCCACGTTATCAATTTAAATACCAGTAAACAAAGATAATAAAATAAACAAGATTTTTATAAAAAGTAGCTATTTACTTGTAAATGTGAATTCTTGCTGTTGTACAACACAGTCATGTTTTATTAAATAATTTATTGTCAGACTATTAATATGCGAAGGCTGCAACTTTAGCAACACGAACATAAATCATAAATTACGAAATGGTTACTTTGAGATTGACTATAAAAGGAACAGATAAATATCAGACACGATCGTCTGGCGGACCAATTAGTGTCCAATGAAGTCCCTTGCCCCCACAGATATCTCACTTTTCGCTACAGAGTAGACTGATGTTGCCTTGGCAACCATTTAATTACTAATTACACAATACTTTTGACTGATATTTGACGTTGCAACGAGTAATTTGGAAATATTGACTTACTTGTGTATACATTTTTAAATTAAAATGTAAAATAGTTTATTTACAACACAAAATACAGTACATAAAGTGCGTGCAACTTTTCCTTTTATATAAACTGTATTACGAAGAGACCGCTCATCCTCAAGATATGTTCGAACTTGTGCTAGAACATGATATTAATAGATAACATATTTTATATTGCTTTGCATTAGTAAAACAATAAGAAAGCATATATAACTATTGTATCTATAAAAGATGCTGTTATGAAATTTTTAAAGGAGCAGATTATTTGTATTAAGCTATATACCTGGAACATTTTAAACGGCAAAATATTTTTTTCATAAGTTCAGTGGTTTATGATATTTTGCTACATATTCAAACGAATTAATAAAATTCAGTTTTCTTTAAAATATTACTGTGTAATATTTTTATTACTATAATAAATGAAATCAATAGGTTAATTCCTTAATCATCAAGGAATATTACGAAAACTTAAAGACAAACGAAAATCCTGAGATGGCCTTTATGTTTTCTTATTCTAAATTTAAATCGAGCAATTGAGATTGAATATTTGCCGATTCTTTCTTTGAGGTAAACGATTTTAATGTGGGAATGAGATAGATACACTTTTGATGTCCCAATAAAAGAAGTTCATCCGCACGCAAGATGGCGTCATCGTGGCCTAGACAAGGCCGAGCGGTCATTTGTACGATACGCCAGACGAGTAGCTTTGTCTGCTGCGAGTACACAGATTATCTCTGTACTGTGGAATATTTTCATAATGTATCTGCGGTTGCAAGGCATTAATTAAGTAATTTATCTAGATGATTTGTTTATATTTTAAGTTCAAATTCTTTCTAATTGTATTAATAAACAACATTATAGTTCAATATTTTTAAATACATAATTTAACAAATATATTGATCGATAAAAACAAAGTTATTAATTAGTGTCGTATAGGTATAACTTAGAAGATTCAGTTAATTAGAAATTAAAATTACAGAAATGCTAACAAAACATTGTTGCTTTACTTTTATATACATATATAGCCATTGCGATGTCCTTGCTTCGGTAAACTGTCGATAAGACGATGCGTGAGCTGTGGCGTCGACCGATAATTATCTTAAGGTCACACCACTATCTGTATGACGTTACACTATCAAGCCATACATTGTGATAGAGCCGGTAGAAAACAGGTGTAACTTACACGAAAACAGAATTTATTTGACCGCGATAACCGCTTTTATACATAACATTTTTATTTTATTAAACAAACATTAGCACTTGTCTTTATCTCTTAACACAATTTCTTTCCCGTTAGACTAAATATTCAAACAATACAACTCATGTTCTTCAACAAATATATATAAAACACGATGTATGTTTAACTTTAATGTACAAAAGAAAAAACTAGATAATAACTAAGTGACTGTTAGTCGATTTCACAATACTTATACCACGTCAATTTCCATGTCCTTGACCCCGATGACTGGTGGAGAGGTCATGTATCCCCTAGAGTACGACGCACCCTGACAGCCGCAACTAAAATAGACGAGGTTAATACACCCGCACTATTACAATCCTATGAACTTCAAACAAAGAACTATTAGGCTAGAAGAACGTAAATAAACCGTAAGAATTAAATTTTGCCATTTAGCAATATAATGATTTTATTCACGAATTTAGGTATCTACTTGTATTTGTTACATCCAGTAATTGTTATTATATTATCAACGACCTTGACGCCCATCGTAATCACTAAACGAGTTTGTGTATTGTAAACTAATATAATTTTAATAGCATTTAAAACATAATTAATATTTGTTTCCGTTGTTACTAATTTATAAGATTTCTATCGATATCGATGTCCATGAATATTTTCATTGCAATACCACTTCCTTATTAGATACCTATGTATAAAATAAAGATTAGTGTAAATCATTGTCTTTACTATAGATTATTCAATATAATATACAAAATAAATTAGTTTATTTGTAAAAAAGATTGTTATAAAATTGTTTATAAAAGATATTAATGTTTTTCTAAAAAAATCTAACTTAAAATTCATAGCGTTAACGACACTATCTGATAGCATAAAGATTGAGCACATAGCTTCTATGTCGAATGTCACATGCCTAATCCTTGTTAATGGGTCTTTACTGAGAACAGCATTAATTAAAACAGAAACACTTAAGTTTCTTACTCATTCTTGTGTGTGTTCAAAACTGCCTGTATTAAGTTTACTTGAATAAAGATTATTTCTATTTTTATGGCAAAACAACAACAACATAAGTATCTACAACTACTTTCTCATTTTTACAGTATCTATAGTTTTACACAGCATAATTTAAGCATATTAAATATTTATAAAAAACAATTTTTAATCTGTGAAACAGACAAGTTATTACAAATAAGACAATAAGATTTCTATAATCCACAGTGGATTATAGAAATCTTCAGATTTCACTAATTAATCAGTAAACTCTAAAAAGTGTCACGTATAGGTACTCGTGTAATATTACTCAGCCATTTTCAGCCTTAGACGTCAGCTGAATAAACTGTACGAGTAAACAATAGGTACCTATATTTGAGGTGAAACTGTGTTATACGTACACATATTTGATATAGATTTGGTTTACACTTACATATATTTATTAGTTCCTCGTCCGAGGAACTAATAAATATATTCGTAGAATGATTACTAACATTGAAATATATAAAAATCGCGTGTCACTGTGTTTGTTAGAGAGATAGAGATTTGATGTTCTTTTTGTAATGGATGAACTGAAAACTTCTGTAATTTTAAATATTTTATTAAAAACATATTTCTTCAATAATGAACCCGCGCGAAATTTATTATTCCACATTAGGGTTGCTAATGTGAAATAAAAACTAAAACTATTCACATGTTCACAAATAATTGTTATTAGAAACCTTAATAAATGACTGCCATTAAAATAGCAATACAGGGTTGCCAATTTTAATAAATAACATATTTCTTACAACACTGAAAATTTTATTCGTAAATGTAGGTCTTCGTAATCTCGTACAAAATTGGACGTGGATGATTATGCCTTCAGACCTAAGAACGATCTCATACTTAAGAGTATCAACCATTATTTTTATGCATGACAAAAGTATGGTGCACTCGCCTGCGCTAACGGTATACACTGGCGGGACTCCAGTGGATAATGATAGAATGAGCATGAAGTCAGGTCAGTTAATAATAGTTCCTGCCTCTACACGACATATTTTCTCACTAGACTACAGCACAATAGTAGTATAAAAAGAAGTGAAAGCTGATTCCAGCGTCAAAGAGCGTACGTGTAAAGGTATCTAATGAAACTACTAGTTCCCATTACTAAAAATCCCCTTTCCCCGTCAGTATCAAACGGTTGGCATCCCTAAGTCTAGTACCTTGTCGGCAATAGAGGTAAATGTTGTACACCTTGGTCACAAGAAGCGTAATTACAGTCAGGTATGCACTGCTCGTTGTGCAATTTTCTTATCTAATAAATTATATATTTTTTTATTATTAAGCACTGGCATTTAACGTTATATTTATAGGATATTTGTACATAGTCGTTTTAGCAATTATTTCATCGTTAACTGTTGTATATATCGCTATCTTCCTTCAGATCCCGATCCAATAATTTGAAGTCCCAGCTCTAGTGGTCTTTGTGTTAATAGTAATATACTAATATAT